GACATCACCATCCACGTCACCACCCCGCCGTCGTTGCCACCATCAGCATTGTTGCTGTCACCCCCATCGCTATCATCACACGTCGCACACACCCCACATTTCCCTCCAGGAACCTGTGTTCTTTCGTGGAGTCTTCGAGGTCCAGCCAAGGGTTGGGGTTGGTGGCTTGGAGCCGGTTCAGGAACAGTTTCTGGCGGCCCTGCAGAGGGGCCTGAGGACGTGTGTGAACCCAGCGATAGGCTGGGAGGGGGGCATTTCAGAGCCCTGTCTTCCAAGAAGGAGGAGCTGCCCGGCCGCCCTGGCTCTGTCTGAAGTGGAATCTTCCAGATTCCTGGACCGGGCTGAGCACCGGTGAGTCAGCTGCACAGGCAGCGCAGGGTCTGGGCCTCCCCCTCCTCCTTGCCCCCGTCCCCCTCCCGCTCCCCCTGCTGTCTCTGAAGCCTGTGGAGCTGTGGCAGAGCATTAGACGCTACCCCGCGTCTCTCCCAAGCCTGGGGCCCCGCTGGGCCTGGGCAGGGCTCCCACCTGGTAGATGGACTGGGGCCTGCCGTTCCCCCAGCCCCATCCGGAGCCTGCTCTGGCACAAAGGGGGCACAGGCCGTAACCGGGACGGGTGCCCTGGGGAGCCTCGGGCCTTGTGCTGGGCCTGCCTGAGCCCCCGGGAGCAGCCGTTCTTCGGCTCTGCTGGGATCTCCGAGCGCGCCGTCCCTTCCACGTGGGGGCCTGCTCCCGTTAAGATTTGCCTGCCTCCCTGTAGGAAACACGCCTTCGATTCAGTGCCTTCCTCCCCGCCCAGGGAAGTCCGGGTGGCTTCCTCGCCCTGCAGGGGCCACCGTTGGCTGGCCGGCGGGGCGTGTGGAGCCCAGCGGGAGGGGAGGCCCAGCCTGCGCACCGGCGGAGGGAGCTGCCCGGCAGCCTCCCCTGACCCTGGGCCTGGCCCTGGGCTGTGTTCACGGGGTGGGGGGTGGCCAGCAGGCCCCTCGTTGACACCTGGTCCCGTCCCGGCACCTTCCACCTGCAGCTGAGGTGATATTTTCCATGGTGAACACGGCCGTACAAAGCAGCCAAGAGAGGCACCTGCAGGCTCCGCTGTCACTAGGGGGACTGCTCTGAAGACGGTGGTCCTGGGGAGGGGACAGCGGACCCACTCAGCAGCTCAGACGGCCCCGCCCAGCACTCTCCAGGGGACCAGAAGCTGTGGGGTGCTGTGGCTTCAGAGCAGCCGTCACATCTGGGTCCTGCACCGCAGGCAGTGCACGTACCTGCCTCTCACCGCTCTGGGTTGTAAGAACATCCTTCGGCCCTGACCTCACGGTGCTGAGAGCCGCGTCCTCGTGGGAGCTGCTTGCGGTGCAGCACCCCCTTGAGAGGGTCGGGCTCGGCCCTCACCCCCGGGGCCTGCGCTCCCTCCCTGCTGACCTCTGACCTCTCACTTCCCCTGCTCACGCACCTGCTCCATCTGTGGGTCCCTGTCTTCTGGGGAGGCATTTCTGGGCGGGGCTGGGGGCCCCTGTGGTCACTCGGTCATCATTCATGTGGTCCTGGTGTGTTTGGGAGCCTCCTCTGTCCGTTGTGGATTTCCGTGGGGCTGCACACCCCCCAGGCCTCCAGCCAGGTGCCCTTGGCTCCCTGTGGGCCCGGGCAGCCCATCTGAAGCTAGTCCGATGCTCCAGACACCCGAGCCGCTTCTGGGGCCCCGTGGACCACAGGGTTGAGCTGACCCTGGTCAGAGCCCTGGGGTCAGGGAGGAGGGAGTGCTTCGGGCTGATGCCCAGCTCGTCTGCGTCACCAATGCAGCAGGGAGGGAGCCAGGCCTGAGGTGGTCCTTCCCTCCCAAACCCTCTGGCAGCTCAGGAGGGACCTTGAGACCCTGGGAAGAGCGAGGTCTTCCAGGGCAGATGAGTTGGCCAGGGCGCGCTGCAGGTGGAACGACACAGTAGCTGAACTGGGGTCAGTGCGGGGGCGTTCTTTATTATAAAGACTGCTTAATCGGAGCGAGAGCGAGAGCCCTGTGGAGACTGCAAAGGAGCAGATGTGAGGGGCCGGGCCAAGCCCAGGGAGCGTAGGGGCTCACGGGCAGTGGGGAGGTCACGGGAGCCGCGCCAGCAGACTTGCGGGGAAGGCGGTGCACTGCAGAACCACCGGGGGGCACCGTGGACATGGACACCAGAGAGGGCTGCTTGCCCGCACTCGGAAGGAAGCCCCCTCCTCCCCACCCCGTGTGTCCAGCATCTTCTGTGTAACTTTGTTCCGTCTGGGAAGGAAACATCTTGAAGGGCCCATCTCCACTTTCGCAGGCAGAGGGTGAGCGGTGGGTTTGGAGCCGAGAGACAGTTACGCCATTACTGGCAGCAGGGAGCGGTCCCACGGGCGGCAGTGGCCCACACAGAGCGCGCCCTGCCAGTCAGGTCAGCAGAGGAGCCTGAGGAGATGGCCAGGGGCCACTAACTCCCCAGCCTGGTGGCCCTTCCTCTCTCCCTTTCTTCCTCCCCTCTTTCGAGTCGCCCACCTCCCTCCCTTCCCCCTCCTCCTGGTGGGGCACCCCTGCGGGTGCAGAAGACTGAGCCGGGCCCTGTCGAGGGCACACACGCTGCCCCGGCCTTGCCACTAAGTGCTGGAGGCGGGAATCCAGGCACAGGCGGGGTGTTGGTCCCCCAGGAGCTGTGGCCAGGTCCGGCTCGGTCGGTGGCTGCCACGCGAAGTGCCCGTGGTCCCTGGGCAGACATGGGGCGGGGCCTGGGTGGCTGTGCCATCACGTGACACGGCTAGTGGGAAACTCCACAGGCGTGAAGCGTGTGCTTCTGCCTCAGCCCCGCCAGCCACGGGGCTGCTTGTCCTGAGAGAAGGAACCGGCTGGGCGGTTAGGGAGGCCGACCCTCCCGCCGTCCTGCAGCCCCGGAGCCCGCACTCTGCCCCCTCCACGCCGCCAGCGCCCGGGTCCCAGACACACAGATCTCTGCCCGTCTCGGGGCCTCCGTCCCGGCGTTCGGGTCTCCCCTGGGCACTGGCTCCCGACGTGGCCTGCGTCCTCCACCTCGGGCCCCTTCAGCCTGGGCTCCATGGGACCAAGCCGCGCTTTGCTGCAGCGTCCTCATCACCTGGGGACCTGGTGCGTCCGAGACCCTTGGGTGGTGACGTGCAGGCTGGGCCAACGGGACCCCTAGGGTCCTTGGGGGCAGGGCTCCTGGCTCCTCCCTGACACCCAGCTCACGGCGTGAAGGCCATGTCTGCTCCAGTCGGCGGTCCTGCCGTCCTGCGCGGTAGAAGGACTGAGCTTGTGAAGTTCAGAGTGTTCACGTTAGGGTCGCGGAACGATGGCCGTGCAGGGCTGAAGGAAAGTGTCCTGTGCCCCCTGGTCCTGCCATCCTGGCCGAGGGCCCCCGGCAGGCGTGCGGGGGCGACGGTCCTGCTGGTGCAGAACCCTGAGAGCCCCCTCCTACCCTCACGCTGGGAGGGTCCTCTGCAGATGTCCGCCCCCCCGCCGGCCTGGCCACGGCAGGGCCGGTCAGGGCAGCTGGCATCCGGTCTGGGCAGGGCGGGCACTGGCCCTGCCCGCTCACCAGGGCCCCCAGGGAGAAGCCCGGGGTACAAGCTGCCGCCCCAGCCCCCCGCCCGCCCGCCCAGCCAGGGCGGGGGCACCCACTTGCTGCAGGTGGGGCCCTGGGTGCTGGGGCGGCACAGGCAGGCGCCTGTCCTCGGCTCACAGCCCTGTCCCAGAGCTCCGCCAACGTCGCACTGGCAGCCTGCGGCGGGAGGGAGCAAGTCAATGTGGCCCCGGCCCCCCCCCCCCCCCCGCCCCCCCCCCCCCCCCCCCCAGCCGAGGAAAGGCCACCCAGGCCAGTGGGTGCAGGCCTTCTGGCTCCTTCTGTGCAGTACCTGAGACGTCGTGTCCTTGCCTCCCCAGCTGGGCCCAGCAGCACGAGAACTGGAGGTTTCAGAAGACGAGGCAGACCTGGCTGCTGCTGCATATGTATGACCGTGACCAGGTGGGTGCACACTCGGTGCGGGGGTTGGGGGGTGCCCTGTGGGAGCACCCTGTCCAGCCTTTCATTTTACAGAGATGAAACCCGGGCTTGGGGAGGGACCAGCTCAGTGTCGGGGAGTCAGAACCCCTGCCAGGTTTGCCCAGCGGCCGGACTCATCCGTGGAGCCCCAGGCTCCCAGCTGCAGGAGGCAGCTGCCGTTCCGGGAAGGCCACTGTCCACGTGCTTGGAAGTTCCGCCCTCCCCCTGTGGATCCTCGTGGGGTGTGGCTATCAGGCTGAGGCTGGGAGCTGCCATCACCCCCAGACACTCCAGTGTGTGCCTGCTACACATCAGGGCGTCCTATAGGACAACAACCCAGCCTGAGTCAGAGCTCCACGTCACGTGGTCACTACTGCACGTTCTTGGTGGCATCCTTGGGTGGGGGCTTGTCGAGAACCGCACTCACCCGGTGTCTGCCCCTCTGTCTTGTCCGGTCTGGCACGTCCCTCATCTTACTGACCCTCGTGACCCTGACGTGCTTGCAAGGGCAGTCGTGTGGCAGGGCGTGGCCGGCGTGGTTGGTTAGATCCCCACCCGGACTCGGGGAGATAAATGTATGTGTTCGTCCTCCTCCTAGCTGGCCCGTGGTGGCTCGGTGTCGATGTTGATCACATGACGCAGGTGGTGGCTGTCGGGTTTGTTCCTGCAGAGTTACTGATTCTTTCAGTAACAGGCACGTGCCTTTGGGGGCTGCCCGTCTCTCGTCACTCTCACTCGCCCTCGGTGGCCCCGTCTGGGGCTTTTCTGTTTCCTTCATCCCGTCTCCGATAAGGAGGAGCTTCGCCTCCCCCGCTCCAGTGGACTGTGGCTTCCCGCTTCAGCGTGGACTCTGCTGTTCTATTCAGTGGCTTGTAATCCATTTATCTGGGGCCGCCGTCACCATCTGTGACGATTGTGTAGCTTTCACGATGGTTAAGTGGCTCCACCGGCGAGGAAGTTGAGGGCGGACTCGGCCCTGCGTGCACTTGATGGGGGGTGGGGGACCCTCCGTGGAGGAGGCACCTGTGAGCTGAGTTCTGAAATCAGGCCGTGGCTGTTGGGCGGGTGGGGGACAGCGGGGTGCAAAGCCTGGGCCGGGCCAAGCCAGCGACGCTGCAGGAATCGGAGCCCCAGGCTGGGGGATGCTGCCTGGGCCTCCTTCCCCAGGACCACCCCCCCACTCCTGCACAGCTCCACGCCCACTCCCCAATGGGCCAGCTCAGGGCAACTGCCCCTCCTCCCTGCGGCCCTCAGGTTTTGAAGTCAGTGTGTCACTAGCTGCTTTTGAAGTGGACTTCCAGTCGCCCCTGTTTTTAGCCCCATCTTTACTCTCACTTCCAGAAGTACCCACACAGCCAGTTCTGGAGTCCCGGGCTTGGGGGCAGGGATGGTCTGCAACATAATCTGCGTTTCTCAGCTTAAGCTTCACCTTCATCAGATCTGCTGAGTCACCATCATTCATCTCCAGCCCCAAAACGTTGTCACTCATATCTTTTTCTCTACTCTCTTTGTTCTAAGAGATTTATCTCTGTATTATTTTTTATTATTTTTTAAAATAAATTTATATTTTTTTATTTTGGGCTGCATTGGGTCTTTTTTTTGCTGCACACGGGCTTTCTCTAGTTGTGGCGAGCGGGGGCTACTGTTCGTTGCGGTGCGAGGGCTTCTCATTGTGGTGGCTTCTCTTGTTGTGGAGCACAGGCTCTAGGCACGTAGGCTTCAGTAATTGTGGCACACGGGCTCAGGAGTTGTGGCCCACGGGCTCTAGAGCGCAGGCTCAGTAGTTGTGGTGCATGGGCTTAGTTGCTCCACGACATGTGGGATCTTCCCAGACCAGGGCTTGAACCCATGTCCCCTGCATTGGCAGGCGGATTCTTAACCACTGCACCACCAGGGAAGCCCGATGTATCTCTTTAAAAACGTATCTGCTTACTGTTGATTTAGTGGCATTTCAGGAGGGCGTGAGAACTGACGTCTGCCAGCCTCTGGAACGCAAGCCGGAGTCTGTGGGGAGAAGGGCGGGGGCCGGCAGAGGACAGCGGGCTGTGGCCGCCCCTCCACCTCCCCCAGCCCGTCGTCCTGGAGCAACGCCTCGGGGCCCGGCCTGAGGGTGCTGAGGGCTGGATGGTTCCCTCGCAGGCCCGGGGCCCGCAGTGTGGACATCCTGCGTGGATATCCTGTGTCTCCACGTGCCACCCGCCCAGCCCTGACGACTGTTCTCTGCCCCATCCAGGTCCCCGACGAGCACTTCTCCACCTTGCTGGCCTACCTGGAGGGGCTCAGGGGCCGGGCCCGCGAGCTGACGGTGCAGAAGGCAGAGATTCTGATGCGGGAGCTGGACGAAGCAGGTGCCAGCGCCGACGCCCCGCTGCCGGGGGGGACCCAGCGCGCCCGGCAGGTGCTGCAGCTGCTCTCCTAGCAGGCGGCGCGGGGGTGCGGGGGTGGGGTCCCTGGCCCTCCTGGCCCCTGACCCTTGGAGGGACCACTTCTCTCTCCTGATTCCTTGGCCAGAACTTGTTTATAGGGGGTGACAGTTTTAACTCCTTCACAGCAGAACGCGGTCACTCTGAAATAAGCTGGCCTCCCAGTGGCCCTCAGGCCCCCAAGGAAGTTGCTTATTAAGGGAAATGCCCGTTTTTGTCCCAGGAGTGTCTTAGAGATCACCAGAGCTGGCCCTCCCCGCCCGCTGTGGTCCATCCGTGTGGGGGCTTGGGCCCCCCACCATGGGTCTGGCGGTCCCTCGGTGCCGGCCGCCTGGCCACCTGCCTGCGTTCACCTAGGGGCCTGGGCTGTGGCTCATTCATCTCGCCTCCCTCCTCAGGCAGGCCACGGCTCCGCTGGCCACTTACAGGGAAAACCTGGGTGTATTTTCAATAAAAACCGGCCTCTGGAGGCCATGGCTCTTGTCGTGTGACTCGTTCCCTGCCTGTGGGGCGTGGGCTCCGTGGCCTCCCGGGACGGCGTCCAGGCGAGCCCCTCGCGTATTCTTCTGGCTGCAGGCTGACCCCTGCTCTTCAGGCCATGTTTCCAGGTGTCGGCAGGGGACACGCGCTGCCCTCCCGCACCTGCCCAGCCGGGAGGCACTACTCTGTCCCCGTCCCCGGAGGAGCGCGTGCGGCCGGGCCGTCTCCACAGACAGTCAGACGTGGTGGCGGGGGGCTGTGTGCAGTTTTGAAACTCTCCACAGAGTCTGTGACGCTCTGCCCCTCGGGCGTGGTCGGCTTCCGGCCTGGGAGACGCATGTGCACCACGTGGCTTCGAGGCCGCTGTGATGGCGGGGGGCGGGGGGAGCCGCCCCAGGTGACCCCGAGTGAAGCAGAGGAGGGCCGAGCCCGGAGTCCTGCTCCGGTTGCAGGTTTGTGAGCCACGTAACCAGGGGGCAGTAGGAAAGCAGAGTCCGAGAGATTGCGTCACGTGGGCAGCTCTGTCGTGAATTCCATGCTGACAGCCCGTGAGTAACGGGGGCCCTTTATTCCAGAATGAGGTCCCGGGCCTTCCTGTGGCCACTCTTGGCTTGGCTGGGCCCCAACTGTGGCCCTCGGGGATCTCGCCTCAGAGCAGCATCCCCAGTTCAGTTCAGTTCAATTCAGTGTCTGAATGGCAGAGGTGGGGGTGGCCCGAGGAGGAGTGACCCGAGCCCAGGAGGGCCACACGTCTTGAGGGCTGGGCAGGTCCCTCGCTGACCACTTGGGGCCTTTCCCTCTTCTCACCTGTGACCCCAACCCCGGACTCAGGGTCACGCCACCCCACGTGGCGAGTCTCGTCCATGCCGAAGTCTCATCTGCTCCCCGCCATGAGGGGCTGCTGTGCTGCTCCCTGAGGGGCCTCTGGCCTGCCCCCGCCCACTGGGCACACACGCACACACGTCCAGTTCCGGGTGGGAGCCACTGGCCAGGCACCTCCTTCGGCCTTGCAGACCTTGGAGATGGAGTGAGGAGGCCCAGCCCTCCTGGAGGCCCTCAGGGGAGGTGAGGTCCCCGACGGGAAAGCACCCTGTGACGACGAGCCGTCGCGGTTCTGCAGGTAATCTGTGGATGATGCAGCCGCGCAAGTGCCAACCTCACTGTCCCTAAGCTTTGGGGCATTTTAAAAACACTTGAGAAATAGACGTACAGTAAAGGAAGGTCCACAGGACACAGGGAGGGGGCAGGTTCTCTTTAAGGAATCTGGGTTGAGTGATCAGGAACATAGCTCCGGGTTGCCTGGCAGCCAAATCGAAAAGGGAAACGTGGTGGGTACTGGGTCCTTATTTCCTGTTCATGGGAAATGGCCCAGGAGAGCCAGGCGCTCCCCTCACTCGTGCACAGAGGCTCTCGGACACCGACTTAGGGGGCTCCCATAGGGTGTTCAGTGCTGTCCTCTGCGGCGTCTCCCTGGCAGAAGGCGCAGGGGAGGTGATGCATCGCTTGGTGTGGGACCAAGCTCAGGGTCCAGGCGGTTCCTGGGGTCCCTGTGCAGTCAGAGATGGCACTCTGATGGCCCCAGGGGTCAGTTGATGTGGAGGGTCTGAGCCTGCTGGCTGCACACGGGTACTAGGCTCGCTGGCTGCCGTGTCCGTCCGTGGGCTGAGGAGCATCTCCCTGAGGGGGAGGGTGGAGCTCCCCCACCTGCTGTGGGGGGCGTCCTGGGCGTCCGTCCGGTCAGCGGCCATGGCACCGTGAGGGATCAGGATGGAGCTGGCGGGGCTTTTTCTGAGGTGCGGCCAAGCTCACTGGCCTGTCAAAGCCTCAGCCCCCCACACCCTGGCCCTGCGAGGAAGCCGCAGCCACGGAGCCAGCAGTCGTCAGGTTTATGGCTGAGCAGCAGCTGTTCCCTGTCGGCCTCGCCTGTGGCAGTGGGGACTCAGCTGCTTCCGCCCCCAGGAGGTTTGCGTCCACTTTGGGTAACTGGTGTTGAGCGTGTCCCGTCGGTCCTGTAAGGACACAGTGACCAGCCGGAGTGTCCCTGATGTGCCGCCCCCGCGTGGCAGGAAGGAAGCTGAGACAGAGGGGCCTCGGGAAGTTAGACGCCCGAGCCGGGACCCCTGCCCCCAGTGTGCTCTCCCCCACCACGGGTTTGCCCTGCGAGGTGGGTGGCGGCCACGCAACACCGTTGGCTTCTGGACTCACAGAAGAACGTTTCCAGTCAAAGCCCCTGCAGACCCGGGAGCTGAGACCGCAGCCTGTATGTCTATTCTGGAGAGTTTGCTTGTGCTTTAGGGCTGATGCGGTGTGGCCAGGGGCCAGCCCTGGAACCAAAGGCAGATCTGGACCAAGAGCCACCCGCCGGCCCCCAAAGGTTCCCCCTCAAGAGGCTGGGGCACTGCAGCCTTGGGAACAGACTGTCCAGGGACTGACCAACCCACGTGAGCCCAGTCCTCACGTCCAGCCCACCTGCCCCCTCCTGACCCACAATGCCAGAGGGCCCTTGATGGACGTCTGCCCGCGGACGCTTCTCCCAAAAGCCGCACAGCCAGCGAGAAACAGGATCTAAAGCTTGGAGTGTCCGACAAAGGGTGAGCCGTTAAAAGGTGCTAAGCTTTTAAGGAAGGATCTACCCCTTCCAACCCAGCAGAATGGCTTTTTAAATTTGTTTTTGGCAAATTAAAATAACTGCCATAAAATGTCAACCAACCAATCAGATTCTTTTGAGGAAACTTAAACATCACCTTTGAAAGTGGTTCATTCTGACACCTATTCTGATAAGTTAGAAAATGAGCGCCTTAGTTTCTGGGTCCTGCACCTGGGCCCAGTGGGATGTCCCGGGAGGTGCCGCGGCCGCGGTTCCTGCTCTGGGTCCACGGCAGAGAGCAGGGGCCTTGCGATGGCGTTGTAGCATTTTCCCCTCCTACAGCCGTACCCACCTCCTCCCACCAGGGCCCGCTGCCGGAAAGCCGAGTCTCTTCCCACAGCAGCTTTGGGCCAGTTCCGTGGCGCCCGGAACATTCTGCCCCCACCCTGCAGAATGAAGCTTGGTACCTCGGCTGTGCCCCGGGCAAGGCGGGCTCCCTGCGCCCCGCGTCCAACGCCAGGTGTTCCAAACCGACAAGAAGAGAAGAACACAGTGAACCCTCGCTGCCCTGCCCCCAGCCCCCTCCAGGAATGCGGGGACCACCCTCCCCTTCCAGGGCCCACCGTGACGTATCGTGGCCACAGCCCTCACTTCATCATTAGGAAGCTTCCCCTCCCCACACCCCACCCCCTGCCCCAAGATCTGCGTGCTGACTGGTGCGTCCTGGGTCGTTCCATTTGAAGCCCCTGGAGGGTCACAGGGTGGCTGGCACTGGAAGCCCTGGGCCTCGCTCTCCCACCCGCCCCTGCTCACCAGTTCACATCCCAAGGGTAGCCTCCGCACGTGGTCACTGCGACTTAGCGCGGTCAGGCTTTTCGATTTGCACTCATCTGGCACCCCCCAGTGTCCGCCCTCCTCCAGGAAGGCCCTCTGGTGCCCAGCTGGGAACAGAGGCTTTTCCTGTGTGCCCCCAGCCCTGTGCCTCCCTCCAGTCCAGTTGGCAAGCTCCGAGCTCCAGGAGGGCGGAAGCCACGGCTTGTTTGCCCCCATCCAGCTCATGGACAAAGTGTTGGGAAGGCATCGGTGTGATCTCAGCACTTTGTGCAGAATCCGCCAGCATCACTAACCTCCTGCCACGTCCCGGGCCCCGGCCCTCCACCCACCGCCAGCTGGCCCCCCTGTGCTCTTCCTCAGAGAGGTGACCTCCACGCAGAGATAAGGAGCCAGTTCACGGGGAGGGTCTGGGGGCAGATGTGGAAGAGGAGTGGGGGGTCAGAGTGGACCACAGAAGAGGCTTGTGGAGGCGGCCTCCCTGCAAACTCCTACTCGTCCTTCCCACCTGAGCCCCGCCGTCACCCTCTGGGTGGCTGCTGCCCCTCAACTAGCTTGTCTTCTGCTAAGGGCTTCTCTGTGGTGGCCCCAGGACTCAGGGGCCTGGCTCCAGGGGCAGAGTGCTGCCTGGGCACGGTGCCCAGGACCTCTGAGAACGGGGTGGGGTCTGCAGGATACCCGCTGGACCCAGGGCAGGGCCGGGCACGGCACAGAGCAAGCGGGAACACTGGTCTGAGGCTGGCCTCTGGGTAGACGTCATCCCGGGGCCCAGCAGCCCCTGCCATCTGCCTGCATCCCCAGCTGCAGGTGGGTGGCACCTCTGTGCCTGGCAGGTGGTGTCTGGCAACGCTGGCCCTTCTGGGGAACCAGATGGGGACAGTGTGGAGGGGGATGCAGGAGGGAGCAGCGGGGAGCCCAGGGGAGGCCTGTGAGGGGCTGCTGCGCCCGTGGTGGGGGGGCGCCCTGGAGGGTCTGCAGGGGACCCAGGTGCAGACAGGCAGCAGCGATGCCCTGGGGTGTAGGGATGGAGGGAGGAGGGAACCCAGCTCTGCCCTGTGGTGTAGGGCCTGGGAGAGGGAGAACGGGGTCAGGCCTGGG